TGCTTGATACTCTGCTGCAAGAGAGTGTGATTTTGTCTGAGGGAAAAGGGAAAGGAGACATTAAACTGTGGTAATCCCAGGTCGTAGATGGTTGCTTGCAGTTTGATGGCACCAACCGTAGTAGAATTATTAGATGGAAAAGAGAATCAACCAGCAGACTCCAAAGACACAGTGGAGAAATTCCAGTTTTCTCCTCTGGTGCATATGGGACAGAAAGGAGGGAGTTGTTACACAGATAAAATGTATCAGTCCTTTGTGATTTGACTGAGAGTAAATCAGACCCTAGAGGCTTTTTTTTTTTTTTAAAGATTTATTTGATTGGGGCCAGCACTATGGTATAGCGGGTAAAGCCGCCGCCTGAAGCACCAGGATCCCATATGGACACCAGTTTGAGTCCCAGCTGCTCCACTTCCAATCCAGCTTCCTGCTTATGCACCTAGGAACACAATGGAGGATGGGTCAAGTTCTTGGGCCCCTGCACTCATGTGGGAGACCTGGATGAAGCTTCTAGCTCCTGGCTTTGGATCTGCCCAGCTCCAGCAGTTGCAGCCATTTCGGGGGTGAACCAGTGAAAAGTAGATCTCTGTCTCTTCTCTCTCTCTCTGTAACTTTGCCTTTCAAATAAATAAATAAATCTTAAAAGTTAAATAAGGATTTATTTATTTATTTGAAAGGCAGAGTTACAAAGAGAGAGAGAGAGAGAGATCTTCCATCAGGTGATTTACTCCCTAAGAGGCTGCAAAGGCCTAGAGCCAGGGGCCTGGAACTCCATCCACGTGTCCCACGTGGGTGTCAGGGGCCCAATTACTTAGGGCATTGGAAGTGGAGCAGTGGGATGCCGGCATCAAAGTGATGGTTTAACAAAGCAAAGGCTTAATCTGGGGTGGGAGGGCAATGCTGAGACCTGTCCTGTTAACCTTGGAGACCTAGTAGGCCATCACTTAATGCTTTTTGCTCTTACAGATTGATTAATCTTCTATAGTAGTAGTTCTATGACGTGTTCAACATGCTGCAAGCAGATTATAGGAAAACTGGAGTTGGGACAGTATAAAAACAGATTGAAACAGGTAATTTTGTAATGTAGTCTGCAAATATTTTTGAGCTCCTACTGTGTATAAGATTGTTCAACGATCTGAAAATAGTGGTGAAGAAAGTCTCTGTTCACAGTGCTTACATTCTACTATGGGGAAATACACACTAACTAGGCAAATTCTATGTCAGCTGATAAGTCCTACAAGTGGAGAAGAAAGTAAGGATGAAGACAGGTTACTATATCTTTATTTAAAAAAAAAAAAGACTTATTTACTTGAAAGGCAGAGAGAGAAAGAGAGAGAGAGAGAGAGCTGCCTTTCATCCACTGGTTCACTTCCCAAATGGTTGCAATGGCTGGAGCTGGGCCCACTTGAAGCCAGGAGTCAGGAGCCAGGAGCTTCCTCTGCGTCTTCTCACGCTGGTGCAGGGGTCAAGGACTTGGGTCATCTTTTACTACTTTCCCAGAACATAACAGAGATCTGGGTGGGAAGTGGAGCTGCCAGGACTCAAACTGGTGCCCATATGCGTTGCTGGCACTGCAGGTGGCGGCTTTACCTGCTACACCACAGGGTTGGCCCCCCTCTTTTTTTTTTAAATAAGGTAGATTTTTTATTTTTTATTGTTTTAAAGCGATCAGGGTTTTTTTTTTTTAAGATTTATTTATTTATTTGAAAGGCAGAGTTTGAGAGAGGCAGAGAGAGAGAGAGAGAGAGAGAGAGAGGTCTTCCATCTGCTGGTTCACTCGCCAAGTGGCCGCAGTGGCCAAAGCCAGGAGCCAGTAGCTTCTTCCGGGTCTGCCACAGGGGTGCAGGACCCAAGTACTTGGGCCCTCTTTTACTGCGTTCCCAGGCCAGAGCAGAGAGCTGGATCAGCAGTGGAGCAGCCAGGACCTTAACCGTTGCCCATATGGGATGCTGACACTACAGGCAGCAGCTTTACCAGCTACGCCGTAGCACCAGCCCTGACATGTTAAGTTTCACGTGTTTGCTAGATGACCCAGGAGAAATGTGAATGTAAAATGTAGTTTCAGTAAACAAAAATTGAAGGCCTAATATGCAAGCAACCCCTCTCAACTCTGTCATGATAGAGTGAAAGGAGCTATTGACCATAGTATAGGAACGGGCATGGCTGTAGTGTAATAAAATTTTGGATACTGAAATTCAAATTTCATCTAATTTTCATGTATTGCAAAATATTGTTTATTTTAAACATTTAAAAATTTATTTTATTTGAGAGCCAGAGAAGGGAGAAAGTGGGAGAGAGAGATAGAGATCTCTGTCATCTACTGGTTTACCCTGCAAATGCCTGCAATGGCTCCTGGCTGGGGCTGAAGCCCGGAAGTCAGGAACCAGGTGGCAGGGGCCCTGCTCTCTGAGCCATCACCTGCTGCCTCCCAGCGTGCACATCAGCAGGAAGCTGCAACTGGGAGTTGAGCCGGGACTTGAAACCAGGCATTCCAATAAGAGATGCAGGCATCCCAAGTGCGCTACTACACCAAAAGCCCATTCCTCTGATTTTGATTTTTGTTAAGCAAATTGCAAGCAGAGTGATCTGAAAAGCCCGATATATTTACTCGCTCTTTAGAGGAAAAGTGCAGAGTGCTGTAGATGATATAAGGTGGTATTATTGAGTTCAAGCTTGTCTGCCTGCAGCATGAAAACGCCAAAAACTCAAGGGAGAGATGTTGCCGCAACGTCTGAGTACTGGAGCCTGCGAAGATGGAGAACTAAAGGAACCATCTTGCCTGTTCCTTGTGAAAGACTGTTTGTGGGTGTACCTGACAGCAAAACGCATGGGAAGGGAGGTCAAGAGGGGATGAATGACGCACACACTTTGGCACCAGCAAGGGTCCCAGAAAGGTCATGAAACTTTTCGTCTTTGGGGTGAATGGGCTCTGGTCCTATAAATCCTTAACAATCATTGTTTTTGAGTGTGTCTCCTAATCGCAAATTCCAGGTAAGGACCTGTTTGTAGAAACCTCAAATTGCAAGCAGGATACCTCTAGTGAGGATATGTCTGCTTGCAGGGACGAGCAGGAAGGTAGGACCAAAAGCTTAAGGTAGCGAAGGCGACATATGAAGGCAAAGAGGCCAAACTTCTCTTTTTAACCCTTTTTCGATGGGATATTAATTGATCATTTCTGATGCTGGGCGATGGTATACGGGGCTTCAGTAGATTAGTTTGCTTTTGTATATGCTTGAGCATTTTCACAGTTGCAAGTTTTAAAAAAAATTTAGATTTAACAAAAGTGATGAATCGCATGCGTTTTTCCTCCCTTAAACAAAACGAAAATCTGAAAGTTGTGAAATAGTAAACGTGGTCTTCTGCCTTTTTGGAGCCCTCAGTGCTGATCAAACAAACCCTTTGGATTTGACAGCAGAAGTGTGAGGCACAAACATGATCAGCGAAAAGGATTTCCGCGCCCCGGGATCTGTGTGTTGTCTTTTTACATCACTATAAACTCTCAGTACCAGTCCTTTTTCTCCAAATAAAACCAAAAGCCCTCTAGTCAAAGTAGCTTTCTCTTGGAAGATTCGCGGAAATGACGCCATCATCCGAAAGCTAAGTCTGTCTGTCCCCGAGAGGGGCGGGGCGTGTACGTCACCACGCCGGCCCTCCTCCACGTACAGCTGGGGCTAGACTGACCCGAGCGCCCCGGCTGGCGCCGGTCTCCCGAAGGACTGCAGGAGACTGGGTAACCGCGGCTGCGCGGGTACTGTGGGCGGGGCTTCACGGCGCCCCGCCCCTCCCCTGCCGGCGCGACCATTGAAGGGCCGCCGCCCGAGGGCCGGGTAAATCCTTAGCGGCCGGAATGATTAGCCGAGGGGGCCGCCCCGCCCCTGGCTCCTCCCCGCGCTCGCGCCCCGCCTCGCGTCTTCGCCGCCCCGCCTCCCTCGCGCCCGCCTCCCTAGCTGCGAGGTGACACGGGGCTTCGCTTTAGGAAGGGGGCGACCGAAGCAAAGTAGGCGGAGGCCCCGGCTCGGCGGTGGGCACCCTCTGAGAGCGCGGTGAGGGGGCGCGGGGGGCCGCGAGGCGGGAAGTGGGAGGGCCCGGGCGCCTGGTATGGAGGCCGGAGAGTGAGGGGCGGCTGTGAGGGGGCGAGGCTGTCCCCGGGCGTGTCCCGTGCGGTCGGGCTGGCGTGGAGCGCCGGGTCGGGAGTCGCCGCGCTCGCCTTGCCCCCTTCCCAAAGCTTTTCATGACAGCTTGGCAGACCTGAAGTTTGCCTCTAGAGGGGTTGTGTGGGATGCCAGGAGGAAATTTAAAGACCCGGAAAACACCGAGGGGGCTTTGCTCGGGGTGTTTTCCTCGCCGGGGTGTGCGTGCTCCTTTCTTCTTCCTGGATGGAGAGGTGGAGAGGCCAGGTGGGCAGGTTGACTTTCACCCCGGGGATTGTTAAAACAAACAATCCGGGAATTCCTCCTCCCCCTCCCGCGCCCTGCCCTGCCCTGCCACCAGCAAACATTCCCGACAACTTGAAGAAGCAGACTAGAAGATTCTGAGAGATTCTGTGTGTTCGAGATAACTGCCTCGGGAATATACGGCTTTGCTTTACGTCTGTGGAAGATTCATGCGTGGCAGGGGGATCTCACTTTTCTTAAATCGTTGGACGCGTTTCTGGTTATCAGTTCGCATCTCTGAGTCTGCCCCAGAGGATTCTGATTTTACGTTGATGTGACATACTGTGTTGAATGTTTTCCTGAAACACAGGTTTCTGTGCAGTCTAACCAATCGGTGCAAAAGTTCAGCCGATTGTTTCTGGCGAGTGAAACAGATGAATCTCTGGTTTCAGATTTTTAAATGTGTCTTTTTCCTGACAAACCTTTGGGTATTTCTTTTACAGGTTTATTTAAATCCGACTACCGCTGATGAAGATATGTTAAAGTAACTCCTGAGACTGCCTGTTATTAGCCGGAAGACAGTCTCTTTATTTCACTTTTTTTGTTTTCCTAAGTCCTTTGAGCTTTACTGTAACGACTGAAAAACTTGGAAAATAAAATGAACATGCTGTGGTATTGAACATAATTTTTTTTTGAGGAAAAATAAAAGTGCCAGAGTGAAAGCCAGAATGGCATCCAGAGAGAGGCTCTTTGAACTTTGGATGCTTTATTGTACAAAGGTAACTGCTTTCCTTTTTATTAACATCTGTTAAAATATTTATTATAACATTTGTAACTGGCCTTCCTATCACTTTATTTACTGAACAGTAGTATATTTATTCATGTTAATGACTCCAGGCTTAAAAAACGTGGGTAAGAGGCTGTTTGCCTTTTCAGGGTTGAACACATACATAATATTGGCATACTATTAAACACTATAGGGTGTGGGTTTTATTTTACTTCTTTTGATACTTCAGTGAACTCAGAATTGCATGAGTAAAATTACGCTCTTGAAGGAAGAATAGAATATTTTTATTTTTACTTAGGCTTTTCTTTTTCTTTCGTAAGGAGGAGCAGGGTAGACATGTTTTTGTGAGAAGGGCATTAAACATTTTTCTCATTGTACACAAAGGTTATTGGTTGAGGTGCTTACTTTGTGACTGCGACTGTGTTAGCCCTTCATGAACACTGCTTGTTTGCGCCTTAGTGCACTTCTGTGAGGTAGGCACTGAGATTCTCCCCTTTTCCTCACGAGAAGACTGATGTGGAGACTACAAGGACAGGGAGAAGCAGGGGTGAGCCTGGAACTCTACTGCTTCCTGATTCAGGTCCATGCTTTTATGTGTTGTGACTCTTCAATGTTTTGTTTTTGCCACTCAGAAATAATTTTTTTTCCTTCCTTGTCTTTATGTGAACTTTTGCATGGTGGCTTTGATTGTAGGTTACTGAAAAGGGTACCACTTAAAAACATGTCTTGCAAGTGAGGAGCTGTTTTACTAACTTGAGGACACTGACAAGGGTCGAGAAACACAAATGTGTTTCAGTTCATTTTGGTCTGTGTGGTGAAGTTCTCCACTCACAGCCTCTGTTTCTGTATTATCTCTTTCTGTTTCTTTCTTATATTTCAGCTCTTTAAAAGCAAATTATTTTTTCACAGTGATGTCATTTATATGTTATTTTGAATTTCAGAGATTGCACTGGAGTTTTATTTGACATCTTTTTTGATATTTTTTATAATTACTAAAGGACATATATGTTGAAATGTTTAGTATGGATTTTAAAATAACTTTGTTTTGAGTGCTTTAATGCCAAAAGTATATTTTAAAGTATCTTTAAAAATAGACATTTCTTCTAATAAAAAAGTAACCCAGTTCACCAGATACTTTTCAAAATAGTCACTAATGCATTTGCCAAAAATAAAATGAATTTGTAGTATAAATGCCCAATAGTGTGAAAATTATTTATTAAAAATACATTAAACTTAATACCTTTTACTATTTTTAGAATAACAAGAGGTAAATGGGGTTACATTGTCTTAATAATTACGCTATTTTTAGGGAGTTTTAATATTTAAGTGAGGCAGTACTTATTGAAAAGATAGTATAGTTCACTGACATACACAAAATTATATTCTTAATGACTTCTAATGCAAAGGTGAATGCTTACTCTTTGGAAATGTCTGTCCTCAACAGTGAAGGTCTTTCATGGTCAAATTTTGAAGCTTATCTTGGACTGGAAGATAAATCTCATTTTTATGTTTAAGACTTAAATGATTTGTGGGCTTAAGAAGGGTAAAAATGTTTTTAAATTGTTTTCAGAAATTAGTTATTTTAAAACGTGGTTTTATGTTTCACCAATCCCTGGGTAAGCTTACTTGTGAGCTGGACAGCTGTCTTCCACAGACACCTTGAATCAGAAAACTACCAGACATACCTCATGGAGGTAACTCTTTACCCTAGTTAGGATAATTACCGTATCCAGTTTTCTATACTTTCTAGCCTTGTTGTTCCACTGTAGCATTTAAGGCCTTCAATATTAAAAATTTATACATTTACAAATTCAAATTTAAGCCCTGTGTGTGTGACTTTTTTCCCCTCTACCTAATAAACTTTTAAGACTTTTTAAAACATGTTTTTGATGAGTTTTCAGAAGACATCAGGACTTCTCAGATCCTACAAAGATGTTTTGAATCGCTTAGTTCTAAGAGTTTTTAGACCTCTCTGTGGAGCAGAGTCTTACATTGTAGAGTCTAGTTTGGTCTCTGATACTGTTTTGTTACCTTGACTAAGACTTACCTCTTTTGGTCTCAGTTTTCTTGTTTTTTGAGTAAGAATGTACATATGGGGAGAATGCTGTTTAGCTTATCATTTAAATTTTTATTTGTTTTAATCCTCTGTTTTTTAGGATGCTTTAGTTTTTCTTTCTCTGTCAACTTTTATTATGGAAAATTCCAAGCATGTACAAAGTAGAGAAGCAGTTATAGTGAACCATTTTGTATCTGTCATGCATCTTTAACAATTACCACTTTTTTCAGTCCTGTTTCATCTGTAACCCTCCCATTTCCCCAACTCCACCCTTGAATTATTTTAAAGCAAATCTCAGATAACTTAGGGTCTTACTCATAAATGTTTAAAAATACATCTATAAAATAAGCATTAAAACCATCGCAGCACTCAATTTATGAAATATGTCAGCAGTGCAGACTTTCCTGCTAGTGTCATAATCTTATTTTCCCACTGTTTGGTTCACTATTTAAGCAAAGTATGCATATTTTGTAGAAAGTGTTTGTTTAGCTGTTGAATCTGTAGGTTCTTCCTCACTGTACTGTTTTAGTATTTGCTACTTGTTTGTTGAAGAAAGCAGGTTTTGACCTTCAAGTTTTCTGTAGTCTAGATTTTACTTACTGTATTCCCTTGCATTTATTTAATTGTTCCTTTCTTCTGGTGTCTGTGAACTGGCAGATCTAGAGGCATGATTGATTCAGGTTCTGTTTTGGGTTGGAAAGGTGAAGGTAACTCATAAGTGCAGTGGCCATCAGTGATTTTTCTTAAAATGCATTAATTTATTAGGATTTTGCAAAAACTGTAATACTTTCCTCTCATTCTGTATTTAATAGTAGAACACATAGATATATATTCCTCCATGAATTATTTGGTGACAGTTCCTTAAAGAGAAGGCAGATAGCATAAATATTTGATTTTCTTTGTTAGTTTTTCTGAACAATGACTTGATTTATTAGCATTCTCCTAAGGGGACCCGTTACTTTTGGGTATTATGAAAGTTTAGTAGATAGAAGGACTAAATCAGAAATACTCCTTGGGTAATACTGCTTGGTCAAAAAATGTCAGTGGAATATGTCTTTTACCTATTAGTCTGGATTCAGTTGCCAGCCTAAATACTTGCGATTGAAGTCCTTTAAGTAGAATTGAGATAAATTATTCAATTTTTAGCAGATGGATCCTCACGTAATAAACACAACATTTAAAGAGAACTTGGGTTAAAAACTTTGGAACTTTTTTTCAAAAAATTTTGATTTTTGACAGGTAATTAATTATATATTTGTGGGGTTCAGTGTGATGTTTTGATACATGTGTACATTGTGGAATGATCAAATTAGACTAGTTAGCATATCCATCATCTCACACTTTCCTTATAGTGTGCAGTTTATTTGCCATCAGACTTTTCAGTTCTAATTTTTCACTTTCTTATAGAAATAAGATTTAATCGCATTGTTAGAAACATGTATCTTCCCAATTGGTTGTTGACCTGGTAGTTATTAGATAACACAGGTGAGGTAATTTCTGATGTGCTCTAGTGATTTTCACCAGTAGTCTGAGCTTTTCCTGCCTTCTAATGAGCATCCCCACCCAGGGCCAAGATTTGATTAACAAGGCATTTTATATAGCTCTTAGAAGTTAAATATTAATTTGAACAGATTGTAATCTTGTATCTGGATTTTAGTTTAGTAGTTACCTAGTCAGTGTCTGACATATTTTTCTTAAGTAGAGAAGCTCAGAATGACTTAATTTGTTAATGTCTGAAGCTTTTAGTTTATATTATCTGTCGTCAGCATCAGGTTGTTCACTTTATCTTTTGATGCCTTTTTTTTTTTTTTTTTAAGATTTTACTTATTTATTTGAGAGGTAGAGTTACAGACAGAGGGAGAGACAGAAAGGTCTTCTTTGTCTTGGTTCACTCCCCAAATGGCCACAATGGCTGAGCTGCACTGATCTGAAGCCAGGAGCTAGGTGATTCTTCCTGGTCTCCTACATGAGTGCAGGAGCCCAAGCACTTGGGCCATCTTCCGCTGCTTTCCCCGGCCATAGCAGAGAGCTGGATTGGAAGAGGAGCTGCTGGGACTAGAACTGGTGCCCATGTGCAATGCCGGCGTTGCAGGCAGAGGATTAACCTACTGCGCCAGGGTGCTGGCCCTGATGCTATTTATTTTCTTTAATGTACTTAAGGTAGGAGAGACCATGTGGAGACAGTTTCTGTTTCTGTGTTATCAAAAAACTTTTTGTAATTCATGTATTTGCATAGAGAAAGATACATGTATCATAAACTCCATATCTCAATGGCTACCCTTTGACAGGCATAAGGATGTATTTTTGTTAGACATTTAGCTTTTTGGGAGTGCTAAAATTGGTCACCGGAATATGCAGAAGCGAGAAAGAGGACCTCTCAAATTCTTAGGTAAGATTAAGCTACTTTTGTACTGTTTAGTGTAAAGTATCAAATGTATTAACTAAGTTAAAAAAATTACTCAAAATCATGGAGTTTTGGAGCCGGTGCTGTGGTGCAGCGGGTTAAAGCCCTGGCCTGAAGCACCGGCGTCCCATATGGGCACTGGTTCTAGTCCCGGCTGCTCCTCTTCCAGTCCGGCCCTCTGCTGTGGTCTGGGATAGTGGTGGAAGATGGCCCAAGTTCTTGGGCCCCTGCACCCATGTGGGGGACCCTGAGGAAACTCCTGGCTCCTGGCTTCGGATTGGCGCAGCTCCTGCCGTTGCGGCTATCTGGGGAGTGAACCAGCGGATGGAAGACCTCTCTCTCTGTCTCTACCTCTCTATGTAACTCTGTCTTTCAAATGAATAGAACAAATCTTAAAAAAAAAAAATCACGGAGTTTTGAAATGTGGCAGTATACATCATAATACATAGTTTATTAGCTTTTTTTTTTTTTTTTTTAGAATAAAAAAAGATTTACTTATTTGAAAGGCAGAGTGACAGAGGGGGAGAAACAG